CCCACCCATAACCTGGCGGTTACAGTCGGGTACGGTTGGGTACGGCTAACGGTTACCCATTTGCGCTCTCTGACACACACACACACGCGCACTCACACACACACACACACACACAGAGCCTGCAACAGGCTGACAAAACAATGTGGCACAGTCTTGCTTTTTTCGTGGAAACATGCATAGCGAACATGACAACATTACACATCCGCGCGTAGCTCCCACTTATTATGCACCTCTCTGTTCATGGTTTTTGCAGGTCGTTGGATTTGATTTTAGCCCTTCTTTTGTTTTTTGGTGCAGTGGTCCTGCTTTTGAGCCTGGACGATGATACCTTGTTCATCACTCACAAGCATACAAACTACGGGCTGTGCACCCATGCCTTCACGGTAAGTCAATTGCAAAAGCACTAACCTCGCCTCTATTCTTGCCAGGTTCATGCTTTCCAAGCACCAACATCGCACCAATGGGCCCTGTCTCTTACCCGTTGCAACTGTGAGTCAGTATGGGATATTTTATGGCCAAAAAAAAAAAAAAAAAAAAAAAAAAAAACATTCCACATACACTTGCACATACCAGCTCCAACTTTTGGTTTTCCCTTTTGTCTCTGCGAGATGCTTTCCTTCTCCAACGGAGCTGAGAGGAACAGGATGAACAACGCCCAATCAAACAAGCTATAGGTTCCAGAGTAACCGAGAAGTGGATTAGCGGCTAGGATCAGGAATTGAGTAGCTCAGGCTAACTCAGGCAGAGGTGAGGGGGGTGAAAGCCCCTCAGGTAGAAGGAAGTTATACCCTCGCGGAACCCTTGCGGAACCTTGACCTGTTGCAAAGGGGTCGCGAGAAGTATTTGCTGGCGTGCACGGCTGGAGTGGTGTTTGGTTTGACGGAGAAACATTCCTGCGTGACACAGCCATGAAGGTCCAACACACGCGACCTCATGCAGGCTGTGCACTGGGACAGCGTGCTCTCTCTCTCTCTCTCTCTCTCTCTCTCTCTCTCTCTCTCTCTCTCTCTCTCTCTCTCTC